CCATCTCAAGAGCTGCTTAACTCTCGTTCCCGAAACGAGAACTCCAGTTTCTCGTTCCCGAAACGAGAGCTCCAGTTTCTCGTTCCCGAAACGAGAACTCCAGTTTCTCGTTCCCGAAATGAGAACTCCCAGGAGCCTCCTGTTTGATTTTCCGGCCTCCCTGCTCCGGGGAAACCTCTCTAGGCCCGCAGCCATTGGTCTCCTCCGAATCCGCAAATGTTTTGGGATCGTCTCTTAAGTGGTTTTCTCACGGCGGCAGGGAGACACCGCTTGGCATTTGACCCAACTTTTTGTGTTCCTCGTTTCCCTGAAGTGGCGTGAATTTGCACTGGGGGGGGGGACTTTCTTCACTTGGAGGGGGGGGTACTAGATGGAGAAGTATTTTTTCTCCTTGGCAACTTTAAAACAGGTGGACTTCAACTCCCAGAATCCCTCAGCCATCTGATCACTTTTCCATTGAATTGTCACTCCGTGTAGTCCACATTTAACCACTTTCTTAATTCAGCTTGTCAAGCGTTATTTTTTTCCCATTTGACCGAAATCAAGATATATTACATCGACCGCATTCCCGCTGTCTATTTAAGAAGTTTCCCTTCCCCGATTTGAAGGGGGATTCTGAGAGTTGGTCCTCCCATCTTAAAGTTGTTGAGATTAAGACTGTGATAGAGACCCCTGAATTCCCAAATCCAGGCTCCCTGTCGTCTTCCCCAGTTTTCCTGATGTCACAATACCGTTGTCTCTCCTTTTCGCCATAGGTCCGAGGCAGCACAATGGCTTCGGTGGTGGAGCTGACGGACAACGGCCATTCCACCTCCCTGCTGATCCAGTTGAACGAGCAGCGGCTGCGCGGACAGTTCTGCGACATCACCATCATCGCCGAAGACACCAAGTTCAAGGCCCACAAAAATATCCTCGCCGCCTCCAGCCCGTACTTCAAGGAGGTCCTGTCCGAGGAATCGGCGTGTCGCCATCCTAGCCAGATCCTGGAGCTTCCTGACATCCAGGCCAAAGTCTTCTCGGACATCTTGAACTTCATTTATAATTCTCGGCTCTCGGTGCCTAGTCCGGCCGTCGCCAAGGAGATTGGGGCGGTGGGCCGACGGCTGGGCATCTCCCGCTTGGAGAACTTGGATGACCCCTTGGCCGAGGTCAAGATGGACAGTCCCGGCATGGCCTCCCCTCGGGGGTGCAGTTCGCCCATTGACCTCACCTACCCTTCCCGTTCCACGGAGGCTCCCAGTCCTGTTTGCTTGCAGAATTTGACCAAAGTGTACAGCCCCGGACAGGACCCCCGCCCGGACTCCGAAACCGAGACCGCCAAGATCCTCTACAACCTGAGCTCCGTCGCGACCGTACCACCCGCCGTCTCCTCCGATCTGACATTCATGCTGAAGGAAACCGTTGGTTGGGACCACAACCTCTCCGGGACTCCTCCGGCCGCCTCTGTCAACACAAACGATGGAGCGCCGGCGTCAGCTTCTTCCTCGCCCGCGTCCCCCTCCGGGGCTTCCTACCCAGCCAGCAGCACCTTCTGCTGCGGAAGCTGCAACCGTTCCTTCACGACGTCTTCGGCCCTCGGCCTCCACGTGAAGCTCCACCGGACGCGGCGCTCGCTCTCCTGCCGCCACTGCGGCAAAAGCTTCATCCACATCAAGCGGCTGCAGACGCACGAAGTCCTATGCAAGGAGGGGGAGAAACCCAAGGAGGGCGGCTCCGCAGACCAGCCGCCCGCCAGCCCAGAGTTACCTTCCAAGCCGACGGTAGCAGCCGCAGCGTCTTCCAAAAAGGCTATGCTTTTCCGCCACCGGGGACCCCCACGGGTGGATTATCTCTCGGACCAAGACCACTTTGTCAAAGTGGTAGACGGGCACATCATCTACTTCTGCACTGTCTGCGAGCGGTCCTACATGACCCTGTCCAGCCTCAAACGTCACTCCAACGTCCATTCCTGGCGCCGGAAGTATCCGTGCCGCTACTGTGACAAAGTGTTTGCCTTGGCCGAGTACCGCACCAAGCACGAGGTCTGGCACACCGGGGAGCGCCGCTACCAGTGCATCTTCTGCTGGGAGACTTTTGTGACCTACTACAACCTGAAGACTCACCAGAAAGCTTTCCACGGCATCAATCCAGGCCTCATCTCTTCCGAGAAGACCCCCAACGGGGGCTACAAGCCGAAACTGAACGCCTTGAAACTCTACCGCCTGTTACCCATGCGCTCCCAAAAGAGGCCGTACAAGACGTACAGCCAGGCGGTGGTCCCCGAGGACCTTCTGCACCCAGCCCACGCCGTGCCCATGACGCTGGGCGAGGGCGACTCCTTGGATGGAAACTTGGTCTCCTCCTTGAGTGCTAGTGAGGTGGCTTCTGTGTTCACCACCAAAAATGCCTCTTTAGAATTGCCAGAGGCAGACCAGGGCCACCCGCAGGAAACGACGAACACCCAGGACATGTCCGTACTTTCGGCTACTGGTGAGGAGGGCCAATTGGATAAGCCTCCCCGGTCTTTGAGCACAGAGGCTCCCACCGTCATTGCCTACGGGCACCCCACCTCTTCGGTGATCGTTCACAGCACCTCGGTGAAAGCCCAGGCGCCTTCCGTGATCACGTACAACAGCACATCATCCAGCGCCCCGTTGAACGCGGGGTCTCCCCCGTCGCTGTCGGCCCCTTCCCCAGTTGTAACCAAACCCATCAAGAAGCAGGTCCTGAGGGAATACATCCAGTCCCAGAAGATGGAGGAGCAGGCTTCGGAAGAGGACAGCAGCGAGCAGGGATTCAAGGCGCGGGGATCCCGATCGGGGCGTACCATGACTTATATGGCGAAACCAGCCTGTGTGGGAGCCGCGTCAGAAAGCCGCGCAGCCCCCCTCTGCCAAATCACAGTCCGCATCGGCGAGGAAGCCATTGTCAAGCGGCGCATCTCCGAAACAGACCTCATGCTTGACAAGAGCAGCCGGGCGGGAGGCCGACGCCTGGATTTTGGCCGCGACCAGAGCGCCGAGAAACCGCACCATGCCCTGCTGCCTGCAACGCTCCACGGCAAACGGGCCGAGAGGGTGTTTGTGAATGACAGCGGCGAGGAGGACAGCGACCGCGGAGACACGGAAGACCAACTCTGGCGCCCCTACTACAGCTATAAACCCAAACGGAAGGCCGGGGGCAGCGCCGGCAGCGGCGCCGGCAACGCCCTGCCGAAGATGAAGAAGCAGCGGTGGCGACACAAGCTGCGTTCCCTGCGCTGGATGAAGCGGTCGGAGGAAACCAAGGAGGGGAGCCGAACGGGGCCCCACCGTCCGGGCTCTGCTGAAGTATCCGGGGGACAGGAAGCTGCCTCTGACCGGGATGAGATGGACCAGCCGATCAAAGTGGGGGGCGGGCGGGGCACTGAATGGAAGCACAAGTGTGGCATTTGCGGCAAACTTTTCTCGGCCCTCAAGAAACTGAGGAAGCACGAACGGGTACACGGACGCCTTGCCAAGGACGATCAGGCCCTGGCGGTCTTGACGGCCACCCCGCACCGCGTAGGCCGCAAGCCTCTGCTGAAGTTTGCCTGCGCCCACTGCACAAAGGTATGCAAGACGGCGGCGGCCCTGAGTCGCCACATGAAACGGCACGAGGGCCAAGAGGAGGCCCCTCTGCCGGTGCTTACCACGGTCATCGCTTATTCCAAGAAGGCCACTGAGGTGCCCCTGGCCACCCCTCCACCGGTGGTCAAGGAGGAGACCACCCAGGAGATGCAGGTGTCGTCTTCCAGCGGGGAGGCACCCGGAGGCCAGGCAGAGGCTCCCGAGGAGGGCTGTGTGGAAATGGAGCCGTGCGATGGACACACGCTGGGCCCTCTTCCCGAAGACGAAAACCTGTCGCCGCAGGGGGCAGACAAGTCTCCTTTCCATGAGGAGGTGCCCGCTCACTCGCCCCCGCTACAGGCCACCACGACCACCACTAGCCTTGCCGATCTGCCTCCAGATCTGCCCCACTCTCTTCAAGACCCCGTCATCTCTCACACGGGCCTGGTCCAGAAAGAGATCCTGGCGTCCCAGGAGATGGAAGGCGACCGATACCCTGTCCAGGAGTACCCTTTGCCGTTGTTGGTGCCCGGGAGTTGCCGAAGCAGGAAGGACGTGGAAGACAAGCCCTCGTTTCTGGCTTACCCCAGCGCCATCCAGTTCAACGCCGTCGGCAAGGCCGGGAGCAGCAGCGGCGACGGCAAAGTCAGCTTCTACCCTGAGCCGTACCCACTGATGTACGGGCACCAGCTGCTGGCTGCCTACCCATACAATTTCACCCTGCCGGTGGCTTTGAACATGGTCATCCCGGACGACAAGGGTCAACCCTTGCCGTTCCTGCCCAACGTTTTCAGTTACTCGATGAACCCTTGCCGGGGTGTGGTGGGGCACGAGGGCCCTCCGGCATCCCATGGGGGCCTGGGGATGGGCAGTTCGGCTCGGGAGGGCCGAGGCGAGCCGGCGGCGCCCGAGCGGCTGAAGAAAGGTGGGCTCCTTTGAGGGACGGCCCTCCGGGGCGGGAAAGGGGCACCGGATTACGCTCGGTGGAAGAAAGGCAAGGCGAGAGAATGGGCCGACCTCCGCCCCTCTTCGGTTCTGAGAAGGGAGGGGTGTCTGTGCTTATGAGAACCGGTGTTGGGGGGGGGGGTTGTGAAGGCGGAGGCCCCTCCAAAACTGGGGCTGGTAGAAGAGAGACCCCCCCCCCTTCCTATCAGTGGCATTTCACATGGGACGTGTGTCGTAGAGAAGACTTCTTAAAAAAAAAAATAGCAAAAATAGGTACAGGGTACCCTATCTCCCCCCCCCCCCCTACTTATGAATGTTGTTTGTAGACACAAATAAGAGTGAATTTGCACAAGGAACCGTTCCTCACCCCCCCTCTTCACTCCCCTCTCCCAGGCCTGTTTTTTCCCAGCTCCTGACCACGTTCCCCCCCCCTCCTCCTGACTTTTGCTGCTGGGGGGAGAGGAGGGGGGTGGAAGGGGGGCAGGCTAGTTTGAAAGAAGTAGCCTCTTTAATGTGTCTCCTCCCCTGCTGTTGGGGGCGCCAGCCGACCCTTCCTCCCCCCCCCCCTTACTAGTGGGCTGTCTCTCCTTTGAGTATCCTTCCTCCTCTCTGCTGTTGGCTTATCCTCCCTCGGCGGGCCCTCCTCCCTTCCTCGCCCCTCTGCTGTTGGGGGGGGGGTTCCTCTCTGCAGACCCTCTCCTCTACTGTTGGGATGTGTGCAGACCCCTCCCCTTCCTCTCCACCCTGCTGTTGGGGTGTGTGTGTGCAGATCCTCTTCCTCTGCTGTGGGGGTGTCCCCCCTGCAGACCTCCTTCCTCTAACATTCGAGGGTCTGTCGGCTCATCCCCTTCTTCTCTATCCTGCTGTTGGGGGTGGTGTCTGCAGACCGCTCCCCCCCCCTGGTATTGGGGTATCCTTCCTCTGCAGACCCTCTCCCCCCCCCCTCTCTCCCGTTATTGGGGTATCCTTCCTCTGCCGATCCCCTCTCCCGTTCTTCTGTTCCCCCCTGCTCTCCTTTCGGGCCCAGCCCATGCTCTGCTCTCCTCCACTTCGCCGCGCAGCAGCTGGCGGAGCTGAGCTGCGTGCCTCTGTGTGTGTGTGTGTGTGTGTTGAGGGTGGGGGGGGGTGGGATTTGCTGTGCCTGCGATTTGTTTTCCAACTGGCTGAATGCGATGAATCACATTTTCCTTTTGGGCAGAAGGAAGGCAGCCATGGAAAAGGGAGGTGGGGTTTGGGTGGGGGGAGTAAGACTTGCCAAGCCAGAGAGGGAAGGAAGGACTCTATTTTTTTTTTTCATTTGGGGGGGGGGGAGGAAGTCCCAGCTCAGAAAGATGAAAGTAGCGACCAAGTTGCGTCATACCACGTCGTCCCCCTCTCCCAGCACACGCACAGAGCGGAACAGCGAAGAAGAGGGGGGGGGGTGTTAATAGATTTGCCCCCTCTGGTTCCCAGCAGCAAAAAAAACTCAACCCCCCCCCTTCCCAACACCCATCTCCTACCCCCCCCACCCCAGTATAAACGACCAAGGATCAGCAATAGGTAATTTCAGCTATACATGTAATAATGTTCTCTCTCTCTCTCTTTTTTTTTTAAGTAGTGTTACGTTCTGTTTTTCAAAATGGGTGGCCTAGTTTCGAAGGATCCTAACGGGGGCAGATCTCCCCCCCCCCCCGGTGGAAACCATGGAGGAAAAGTCTGCAAGATGTGGTGGTGGTGGAGGGGGGGGGGGAAGGCTGGAATTGTGGGTCCCAGGAGAAAAAAAGAAGGCCGGATACCGAGGGTTTGTCGTGGACCGCACACAAAAAACTCAGCAGCGCAGAACCCCTGTCCCCCGTCCCCGAGACTCCAATCTCCCCCCAAAATGAGCACCCCCTTTTTTCCCCTTCCCTTGCTGGCCCCTCCCCTCAACCCCACCCCCACCCCTAAATATTCCACCTCTATTACATTCCAGGAAAAGAAAACACCGCACAATTTGGCAGAAATGGGGAAAAACAACAACACAAAAATGGAGCAAAAACCATCGCCAAGGCTTCGGCCCGGCGAATTCTCCCCCCCCCCCCCCCCCAGTCTTCCTTCCTCCGTGATTCAAAACATTAAACACACTCTCGCGCACACCCCCTTCCCCGATTTTGTTCGGGGAGGTTCACACACACCCCACTCCAAAGGACCAAAAAACCCTGCACATTTTTATCTCGACGATTATTTCGGAAGGAAGAATCGCGCAAAAGCGTTCCAAGATTAAAACGCTCGGCGGGGGTTCTCCCTCTACGTTTTTTTAAATTTTTAGATTCGTTTTTTTCCCCCCCTCTCGTTCTTTCTCCTTTTTTTTTTTTAAAGGAAGATGGAGGAGGGGAGTCTCCAGAAGGTTGCCAAATTCACCGAGTGAATTACGGGAGCTGTCGTCCTAAAATGTCGAACGGCGGCATAACCATCTTCCGAATTTAACTTTTTGTGTGTGTTTCTGTCCTCCCCCCCCCAGCCCCCGCTGCAGGGGAATCACTGGAGGACCCACTCCTCCTCCGAGTATTTTTCCTGATCTGCCTTAGCCACATCAGCATCCAGCCCCGTCGTGTTGCACATTCCCATCGTTGGTGGAGTGACACAACCTGTGTGATTGTTCTCTGCAACCCTGTGAAAGACAACCCAACATCCCCCCCCCAAGCTAAGTCTGGGAAAGGGCATTGCCACTCCTCTTCAGTAGAGGGGGGGGACCCTTTTGGATCAACCAGTCCCTTCCCCCCCAAACCTCTTGCGGTGATCCAGGGCCCGCACAGCTCCACCGTGGAGTTCCCTGGACAGTACACTGCAGAATTCCTCGCGTAGAATCCGACCCAGGGGAGTTGTGATTCACGCACCCGGACCGCAACCTTTGAACCCGTGTGCCACCTGTAGAATTGGGAAACCAGGGTGCTGGGGGTGTGCATCACACCTGTCCTCCCACCCCCACCCCTCTTCTGCACAGCGGCTGGCTCCCGGGACCTTATAAGACAGTGGAAAAATCCCCACACGAAAAATGATATTGTTTCCACGACGCTCCTCTTTTGGCCGCGCTCCAGCACGGCAGGGTTTGAGTGCACACGCAGATTGGATGTGCGCGCGGCCCTCCCTGTTTTGCGGCTGCAGCCGAGTCACGCCACGCCACGCACATTTCTGCCCATCCTTTCCCTCTCCCCCACCCCGCAACACTGAGACCTGTTTCCCCCCCTCCTCTCCTTTTCTGCCACACACACACACACACTTGGCTCGCCTCGCCAGCCCTTCGTGCTTCTGACATCCGATGCATTCCGTGGCTGACAGCAAGCCGCGCTGTGCTGTGCTGCAGGGAGATTCTCGCGCACATTTCCCATCCTGTGCAGCAGGCGCACGGCTCCTTCTGCGCGCTTCCCCTTCCCCCTTGAAGGGTGGGCTACCCAGGGCTGGCATTTTGGAATACGTTAGGGTACTGCCCTTCTCCAATTTTCTCCTGGGATTATTATTATTTTTTTGGAGGGGGGCATAACGCTTGCTTGCAGATCTGGTGTGCAGAGGCCTACAGCTAGCAAGGCAGCAGCATACTACTACTCTGCACGAGGAGGCAGGGGTCCTCCGCGACCACTGTGGGTTTTTGAGTGGGGGCGCCCCACATTCCCAGCACTGCACCCCTCGATTGCATTCCTGAGATGGGGAGGGCAAGGGTGATGGGGCCGGGCGGAGCGAGAGTATGCGCCAAAGGTATTTGGATCCCTCCTCCTCGCCCAGGGCAGGAGGCTCTGGATTCCGGGGAGGGGGAGGGATGACATTGGGGGAGGGGGGGGCAGAAGGGGGAAGTCGCTGACATGTACATAGTGGTCGTCTCTCTCCGATCTTTTGCACTTTGTCACTGGGGGTGTGGTGGGGAGCCTCTCCGGTGATCGTTGACCGTTTGCTACTGAATGTAACTCGTCTTTTATTTTGTTATTTTTTAGAAAGCACCTCTAGCTAGTTTTATGGCACTTTAGATATTTTACCGAAAAC